ACAATTTTTGTTTACACATGTAGTCATCTTACCAAGCTGGGCTACATTTCAAATCAGCTCTGTGTCTCAATCATTGCTGCAATTCATTTAGGTGAATTACTTAAAAAGTTTTTATTGGGCTGTGGACATGTGACAAGTATCTGTATGTTGTCAGCATCTGTATTTTTTGGGTCCTGGTTATAGATCAGTATGTTCATATCCAAGTTATTGCAACATGACAGAAAATTAATAAAAGCTGTTCTTTAGAAAAATAAACATTTGGCCAATTCATGTGCCAGCAGTCAATTTGCTTTGGGTTTTGTTCTTTAATATCTTTTTTCCTGTCTCTCTGATTATTTTATGCATAGAAATGCTGCTGATGGTTCCAAGAGTAAAGACAGTGTTTATTTTTGCACCCTTCTCCTTTTCAAAGCGTCCTGCTTGTTTTGAAAGGTAATTTATAGCTCTGAATGTAGTGAGTATTAAAAATTTGCTAAAAGAAGGTTGGCAGGTTTGGTGTGGGGGCAGGTGGATTCTAGTTCAACCTTGTCTATTCATTATTAGAACATATGTTTAAATGTGTACCTGCTGTCAGTGAACAAAATCTCTGCTTATAAGGGGCTTTGCATCCAAGCAGTTCAAGACTCTGGGGAAACTTTTATCTGTTATAATATCCACTCAAAGCAAAATTTGTATTTAAACTGAGTCTGCTTGGCTGGAAGATAAAAATCAAAGGTGGAGTTCAACAGCCTTGTTTAATGCTTTTTTTTTTCCATAGGTGAGAGCAGATTAATTTTCTTGTATTTAGTTCTGGAAAAGTAATTTGCACATCCAGGCCAACTCTCTCTTCCTGTTCCCCTTTTTTTGTCATGCAAAATGCAATGCTTCTGAGAATGTTTTTTATCTGCCATTTAAAAGATTTCTTTTTCCTTCATGTTTTCATTAGACATTTCTAGCCCAGAGCCCCATCTCAAAACATCTAATTCCAGATGTTGTTTAGAAATAAGGGTAACCATGGCATCTGTGGAAAACTGAAAAACTTTTGTGCACTCTGAAAGTAAGACACAGTAGTTAGATTGTCTGAAATGATGTGTTATACAAGGCTAGTTCAAGTAAGGTCTTGGACTCAGTTAACCAAGCGTATGACAATGAGCTGACTGACTGCTGGTTTAAAAAAAGAAAAGGAAAAAAAACACAAAAACAAACAAACAAAAAATATCTAGCAACAGTACAATAATGAATTTAAATATTTAGCTTTTATGGCCTTCTGACTGTGAAATGGCTGGGATTTCCAAGAGAATACAGTCTTTGGGGATTTTCTTCAAGAAGAATTCTTTTTCTGCATCAAGTTTAACAAACAAAGGGCCAGAGTCTCTCTGGCATAAACTCACTCTACTGGTTCTGAAGTACCCTAGCCTGATGCTTTGGTCTTTGGTCTTTTCAAAATATTTACCGTAGATGTAATTCATTTTCCCAGCAGCATATTCCCTGTGCAATCAATAAAATGGCAGAAGCTAGAAAGCAAGAATGATGCAAGGGCGTGGGTTTAAGATTCTGCCCTAGATAGACAATTCAGCACATCAGGTGTTACAGATTTCCACCCATCATCTGGGCTTTGGTATGTTTTTCTGGGAGCCTTTGCCCTGGCTTGTGTTTTGCAGCACTCACTGTCTTAATGCAACAGCCTCTTTCCCAGCTTTCTGTGAGGATGATATGGCTCTTGTGTAGCAAAATCGAGAAGGCTGGGAAGACAGAAAGAGAGAACAAGTAGGAAAGTGAGGAGAACAAATAAATATCTAAATAAATGCAGCCTCCTCTCTTGGCTTTGTTTTTCCATCCTGCCCACGGGCTCATGTTTGAGACATTACAGTCTGTTGCCATAGCACTTGTCCTGGTACCAAAAGCCCAGCTAACTGGTGTTTGCATAAAGGCAAGTTAATAAAATTATGTTCTGGTAGTGACCAAAGGAGAAAAATTACCTTTTGCTTTTTCCCTCCTTTGAGCAGAGGGGCAGGGACCAAAGGCAGCAAGGGTACAGAAGTTTCTAGAACCAAATAGAGCCATGCAATCAGATCAGCTCAGATCCAGTGTTTGCACAAAAAAATTAGCCCTTCTCTATTCTAGTTTATTCTAGATGCTATTTCAGCCCTGCTACCAGCCCCACTGGCTGGTAACTCTTCGTGCTTCCCAGGGCACTGGTGGTACAGGGAAGAGGTAATGGAATGCTTCTTGAAGTAGTAGAAGTGCTTCTTGAAGCAGCTCTCAAACCCAGCAGAGACTGCTGTTCTCTGAAGAATAGGAGTTATACTGTCTATTCCTCCCCAGTTCTCCAAATAACTGGCATAGTTTCAGTCTCTGTCATGACATGAGCAGACAGGGACATCTTCCACAGTGTTTGCTGTGTCAGTGCTCACGGTATCAGATACTGCTTGCAATTTCTTTGGTTTCTTTTCATTTCAGGCTACCTGAAAATTGCTGATTTTGTGAGAAGCAAACTGTAAGGGAGATCTGCTTGTTTATACAATGACAAGCTGACATTCCACCATACCACACCAAGCACACCTCATCTTGGAAGCTACAGGGTCTGGCAGCTGGCTGAACAAATGACACCCCAGGTAACCCTGGTCTGTGGACACAATAAGCAATAGCCAGTATAAGTGAATAGTGGAGCACAGATATCAAATGAATTAAAAGACTGTTCATCTGCTCTCATCATTGCTGACAGGATGCTAGAGAAGGAAAAGAAATCTTTACTATTTAGTCTTGAAACACTATTTGATTTGCTCGTGGTTTATTGCTTATGGTGAATCTCATGCAACCAGCACAGTATGGCCCAGGGAGATACTTAAGGTTTTTTAACAGAAAAAAGGAACTAGTATTTTGAATACTGGTGTTACAAGTTCACCCTTACTCTAGAGGATAAATGTACCAGGAACATTAAATCATGCAGCACTTTTAAACATTCTTCTCTCCTTCCATTGTGACAGCAAATATTAAGTTGTTCAGTTCTGTGGGAGTTATTAACACCTCCAGAGTTATGCTGAGGGCTGCAGGTGCTGGAAAGCAGAAGAATAATGGAATATCCTCAGCAACACCACTGTAAGAATGGAATCAATTTTCTCGAACAAAGACAAGGATCCTTCAGCTCTGAGTCACACATCGTGAATTTCTGAAGTGTCACATGGAGATGGAGAGAGAGAGTATTACACTGGGACTTGAAAAATGCTTGTGGACTCCTTAAGGCTTAAGCTTTGTTAAGACATGTGGTACAGGAAGATTGTACTGACAGGCTATGGAAGCAAAAGATCACTGCTTTCATAACACAGGGAAAAGCCTCAGCAATAGTAGTACAAGATAAGGTCAGTATGGCTGTTACCAAAGTTCATCCTATTTAGCATGATGAGATAAGACTTTAGAATCACTCATTGATCCATGACTCTGAGAGGTATGGAAGATTAGCAAGTAGCATTTGAGGAGGTTTATATTGGCATGAGAGCTCTGGAGTGGGACTTTAATGGTACCCATTGTCTACAGTGGCACTAAGCAACCCAAATGCTGCTATAAGGGTCTGGGCTGATGATTAATTTATGTCACCATCCATCCTGGCTCCTGGCTCCTGCCCCATCCTGGTCAGGGACACTGAGACTTCAGCTGAAGAGTGGATTTATACCCTTAGCAGTTATATTTTATCTGTGCAAATGTATTAGTTATGGGACTTACTCTGTTCCCTATTTTAGCTGCTTACAAGCTATAAAAGCCAGTGATCTAAACTTACAGTCTGCAATGACATACTGAATAGTTTCATATGGATATGAACCTCAACAGTTACTGGAGCCCTGCACACTTTGGAGATATGTAAGCAAGTAGACTGTGGCAGCTGACACACACCTAAGAAAGTGCTTCAGCTTTTAAAAAGAGAAGGTGGGGAAGTCCACAGAGGCCAGCTCCTTCTTCACTCACAGCAGGGAATCAGCAGTGTTCCAGAAAGGAGGAGATGGTAGGGATTTGCAGGTGACTGAGTGGATATTGGGATGTGGTCTTGTTTTCTGTCAGAGTGTAATAGCAATTTGGTTTGGTTTTGTCTTCATGCTGGGACCCTGCCGAGGGCTGAGAAACCAAACCATCCAGTCTTTGCAATGCTGGGCATGCTGTGATCATTAACAAGAAACTCAAGGAGTATAGGGAGATTCTGATTTCCAGTAAAACTGTGTCACTGGGTTTTAGACAGAGTTCTAGTTTTAGCCAATTTCTATGGAAGGTATGTAAAATAAAATAGAATATATAGGAAAAACATTTTAGGTGAAAGAATCAGTTCTTTCACATAAGCAGCTGTTTGCACAGATAAAAAGTGTATAATAAAGGAGGTGCTAGGAAGATGCTTGCAGTGAGGTCCCTTTTACACATCAGAGAGAAAGTGGAAAAACTAGGTTATGCTACTGAAAAGGAACCTTCTGAAAGCATCTAAAATATGTTGTTCAGACTGAAAAATTTTTTGGAATGTCACTGTTAATACAGTTACTTGATTAAAGAATAATATTGTAATACAAGGCTGTTAAGACTTTTTATATCTCTAGGAAATGTGATATCTCTGGTGGTTTTAGAGCCATCACTAGCTTCTTCCTTAATCAAAGGGAAAGAGCATCTGCCTACTGAATCTCCTGTCTTCCACGGTATTAATATAATTCATGCATGCATAGCTTATGAGATCTTATGGTATTGCACTCTACAAATGTACTTTACTATAGTGACAGCTTTATATTTTGAGCTGAATTCTGTCCTGCAGGTAGAAGACACCAGCTGTGCTAATCTGAACACTGTGAGTGGCCTGGAGTCACTGATTTCAGCAGAACGTCGATCAGCAGAGTGCAACAGCACAGCAGGGATGTTAATACATTTTCATGCTGTTTATGCAGATCAGGAACACTGCAGGCTCATAGGCTCTAAAAAAGCTGCGTAGAACCCTGTGTTCCTGAGAAATACAAGTTAATTTAGGAATTTATTAATTTAGGAACTACTGCAATGGGAAACATCACAATATACAGCACAAGTTACCTACCTTGGTGAGTAACTTTCTTCTCATGTTGTTGCAGTTCTCATTTGCAGCAGCTTTAGACTGGACCATGCTGGTGATCACACGTGGAGGATCAGGTGGGCTGTCTTCAGTCTCTGATGTGCATGGCAGTTGTGTTCCAGGACAGCAGTCCAAGTCCTCTTGACCCCAGCTGGTAGACATCTCCAAGGGATCGGGGCATTTCTCATCGGGACTTGACCCATCGTCACTGTTTTTAGCATTGCACAGTATAAGTGATCTTGAAATGGAGCGAAACTTCCTTGACTTCCTATTCCCAGTATTGCTCTTTTGATCCATCTTCAGAGAGCTGCTGCTCTTTTTCCTATCATTCTCCCATTTGTGTGGCATGATACTTTCAATAACTTTCTCCTCTTCTCTGGTGCTAAATATCCTCCAGGAAAGGAAATATAAAAAGTAAGTTGTAATATACCCCACTTTCTCCCACTTAATAACCTACACTACTGAAAAGCCCTAATGAATAAATCGAATCAACAGAGCCTTTCAGTCTGCGAACAGCCACGTGATATCTCATGACTTGCTAATTCTGTTTCTGTGCAGTGCTCTACTAGATTCTCCTTCACCTTTTCATTCTCTTGCCATGTTCCCCACGCACAGTGGAGTGCTTTTAATAAATGTTGGTGATGCTTCCATTGTCTCCTTGCTTTGGGCATCTGCTGAATTTGCATGTTGAAATCCCAAATTGAAAAGGAGGATACTTTAAAAGCATTATTCTATCCTGCTAATATTATTTGGAAAGAAGAAGCTCCTTCTGAAGCCTGATTCATGAAACCGCTATAATTCCAAGAAGATTAATCAAATTGCTGACATTAAGTTCTCTCCCTGGCGCATCTGATTTGCAAGTGGTTTAGCAAAAGTAGATCATAGCCTTGAGAGAGTAAGGAATTGTCAGGCTGCTATAAAACTTCCACCTTTGCAGACCAGAACTCACTTAAGACCGTGCATTTAAGAGTAACAGAGGCATCCAGTGAAGCACTTAAGATGTGAATATCTGATTAGGGATTGAATTCTATAAAGGAATACAGCTCCAGTACATCAATCAAAAAGTGTCCTGTTACAGAAATGGTTTATTTCAGCACATGATTCAGCATAGGAAATTAGGGTAAAGTGGAAGAAAATGTATAGAATCAAAATGTGGCAGAAGTTGGAGCTTTTGTAAAACGAGTAATGAGCATGTTAATATAACAAAGGGCATCTTTGTAAAACTGTTTTCTTTTTGTCTTAGAAAAAACTTTCTAGAAACACTTCAGTACATATGTGGCAGTGCTGAAAATTCACCAAGACAAAGTCTAAATTAATTACTTTGACTTTCTCACCATTTTTATCGTATTTATTACACAAACTTTTTATTCTCCTCACGGTACCTAATAGATACTGAATGCTGCCATTCTAGGGAAAATACCTATTGAAAATAAAGTATTTGTAAAGATGCTATATGTGCTACACACAAAACAGAAAATCAATGTAATTTGAAAAAACATTTCTTGGATATACTGCTGAGAGAAAAGTTTGTACATTGTGCTCTAAACTGTGTGTGGTTTTTTTGGTTTGGAGGTTTTTTTGCTGCTTCTATGCAGAATTAAGTAGGTACATATGCACTTTGCACCTGAAATGCCACTAGTGATACAGAAATGGAAGAAGGAAAATTTTCTAAAGGCTCCTTACAGCCACAACCATAAACACAGGCCTGCAAACTCAGACCAAGCCAGATTCATATAATAAATCCAAGTCAGCATTATAATAAATCTGCAGGATTATTTTTCTTGGTTTTTATTTTTTCTTTCTCATATAAAGAAACGGGAAAAAACAAAAACAGATGATAAGCACTATGCCATGTCTGAAGGAACTATATGGCATTGCTGAAGAAATCCACAGTTCAACATGAATCTCAGTTTGTTTGAATTTGTAAAAATAAAAAAAAAAATTGTGCATGGCTTTTCCAGGGGCAGCAAGGAGGCCCCAGGGAGAAGGAAATTTATTTGGGCAGTCCTTTCCGGTGTATTTGATAGTTAATTTTACTTTTTCTCTTCCTTTCAGAGTAGCCTCTCTTCTTATGAATGACAAGATTGCTGTGATGGGGGACTGCCCAACAGCACAGCCACACTCCCTTCCTGTGACGCAGAGCACACGCTGAATAAAAGGACAATCCTTGCCTGTGAGTAAGGACACAGAGGCCAGAGGGGATGGGGAAAAACATGACATAGATGGAGCTCGGTTTTAACACATGGACTTTGTAGCTGACACGGGGTCTTATTTCTCTAGGATTCGTCTCCGTTCCTGCGCTATGGAGAGAACCTGCTTGTCAGAGCCTCTGTGTGGTAATTTAATTTGAAGTACAGAGATGAAAAGTGCTATGAATTACATTAGAACAATAATTTTGAGAACTAAGTAGTAGGTGGTTGTTTAATTTAGTATCAAATGTTTGCAATTTTTTGGTATGCTTCTTTGTTGATTACTTTAGCTAAAAACTGCCTGACACTATCACTATGAATATATAAAAACTCTCAAGGTTTGAAGATCTTGTTTGTGTCTTTTAAAAAGACAATTCAGTCTACTATAATATACATGAACTCAATTGCAATTTTTGAACTCAGAAATCCCTGTTAGCATCTCCAGTGTATTAGGAAGCTAATTTAAGCCTATGATGTTGCATTTCCTGTATGTCTGAAAGAAGGTAAAAATGCAATCTAGACCAGAATATGGAGCTGAAGAAGCAATAGGATGTCTAGGATGAGGGGAACTTCTGCAAGTCTCTACTCTCAGTGCCTGGGCAGGAAGCAACAGAGCTACTTGTTGGAGGTGAGTGGAATGTGTATCACTTGAAAATCTGCAACAGGAATCAGTGCTCCTTCTGTGTTCTGACAATTGCTATTAGACAGTAGCAACAAAAATGTCAGAAATGAACCTGAGTTGCACATTCAGACCTAAACAATCTTACCTATGGGGGGAAATTAGAAGAAATAGCACTTTTCATTCAAGGATTTCAATATTGTACGAACATCAGCTGCACTCTTACTCTCCCAAAGAGGAAGAATTTAAAAAAGAGCTATTAAGCATGTGGATAAGCAGAAGACTTGATATCTTAATGGTCAAACTGCAGCTCTCTGGAGACTGACATGCTAGGATGAAGGATGGAGATATGCATGAGCCCTTTCTTGCTCTGCCTGAAGCTGCTGAGCTTAGGAAGGGAATGCTGCCATCACTACTAAATGCTCCAAGAGGTGCTTCTCTGGCTGTGCTAAGCATCTGGGATGCAGGGAACACACACAAGCACCTGTTGAAACAGTCAAGTAAACATTGCTCTAAGTGCATCCTGCTATCCCAGCCCCCTGGCATGCTCCTGAGGAATTTACCTTATGCAGAGAGAACTCTGCTGCCCTGCTTCATCAGCTGTTTCTTCCTTCCCCACCCCCATCCCAGCACCATCCACTCAAAGACCAAGTTTGACCCTGAATGACTTACCTAATCTCACAGTGAGCCAGTGGCTGAGGTGAAAACAAACCCAGTAGACCTGAAGACCTCCAGCTAAATACTTGCTCTTGCTGTAAGTATTTGATCACAAGTCCTAACTAAGGCAATATCCTCTCCAGAGCTGCTGATTCAGGGTTGCATAAGTGACAGAAATATAGGAGCTACCAAAAACATAGTCTATAAGTTTTCCGATAAAAATATCAAAAAATGTTATTTTACGGAGAAAACAACACCACAAGTGTCACAGAAGCTTTATGATTCATTGCCATCTTCCACCAAATTTAATTCAAGGTATTGATGGCATGGACAATTACTTCACAGTCAATTCTCTAAACCATTCATCTTCTCCCCCAGTGCACTCACTGCTTGTCATTTTCTTTTGCCATTCTTATACCTCCAGCTCGCCTGATGGAAGCTGTCTGTGGTTTGTAATGCAAACCAAATGTTCCTTCTCTGTTTCATTTTTTTTTTCCCAAAGCTTTATTTTTCCAGCTTTAAGTCTAAAAAGCCCGAACTCAGTCTGCCTTCTGCAAACAAAATACATGATTTGAGCTGTGCCCATTTGGTTCAAATTTTTGGGTTGGATATTAAACCGAGCATTTACAAGATGCAAATAATTTGGTGTAGCTCCCAGATTGAATGTGAATGCTCTGCTGTTAACCAGACAGTAGGAAAGACAGAACCTTTCTTTACTAGCAAGAACAAGATGAGATTTACATTACTAAGTGCTAACAGCATCCTCTTTTAAACTAGATCTTGCATTCTATTTTAGTCTAGATCTTGTGATCTTCGTCAGATTCACTACTGAGCAGTATTATTAGCACTGAACTATTGCAGATGTCTAGGCTTTCCAGGCAACAAGATGAGCTAAAGATTTGGAATTTTTATAATAAACATAAAGAAATTCCTGTAGACTTCAATTTACTGTTTAAAAAAAAAATATTAAAAATACCTAATTGTAAAAGAAAAATTCAAAAGGAGGAACTTACAACAGCGAGGCAGACAAACCTGACTCCTGCAGAAGGCTGTTCCTCTTCATAGGCCTGGCAAAAAAAGACAGAGTGAATAATTGAAAACACACTCTCCTGGTGCCACGTGACTCAGTTTCAGTAATTCTGCTCAGTGCATTGGAACGGAGCTATTGTTTCCTAATTGAAGAAAATGTCAGCAAGGCTAGATAAACAAAAGCAATGGGATGCAGTATTGGGGAAACTGTTTCCAGCAGACTCCCAGCTACTCAGAGGTGGCAAGACCATTTAAGGAGTTTATGTCATTTGCATTTACCCATCGCTCCCCTGTCCTGGGATTGATGGGGTTCAGGCGTGTTAAACCCACCTGAGGGGAGCTGGGGCGACAGCCAGAATCTGTGCTAATCAAGTGCAGGATTTTCTGCTGGAGGCTGAGATGGCAAACAGGTTTTTCATACTTTTTAGCAGATATTTTAACGTTAAGCTAGTAAGAGTTTCATGGACCACTTCTGCTCCAGGAGCAAAAAGTGATCCCAAGCCCCTGTATTGCTCACCATGAAGTGACACAGTCCCTTTAACTTACCAGTTCTTAAATACTTTCCCCTTTATGGGCTAGACTACAATGTTGTTTTCCAAACTGATCAAGAACTCAGAAAATTATTGGGTTTTTTTCCATAGAACATGCAGGAAATGAGAACTATACCACAGAATCCAAATTGCCTCAGTTACACCTTCCATTTGCTGCAGAGTAAATGGTTCACAGTCTATTCTAGTATTGTGGTGATTCCCTCCACAAAACACTGCTTGAACTGCATCCACCATCAGTTGGGGAGCAGGCAGCTCACCTTTTCTACCACATCCTAGGCATGCTTAGCTGCTTTTTATTGGTCACACGAGATCAGTGTCAGTCCCCACTTGTGCACCCTCAGTTCTGCTCACACCGACAATCTTGCTGCAGAGAACTAATTTTGTGTGATAAGAGTGCGTAAATTAAAATATTTCATATAAGAAAAAATTGTATCTAAAACATTTAATTTTAGTTTATTGAAATAGTGAGGCCTCTTCAGAATGTCCTAACAAACCATAAACCCTATTCTTTTCAGGAAAACGTAAACATAAACCCATCCGTGTCTGGTCATGGAAATGCTCAACATGAGAGTGCTTAGACACCTGCTACCCTGTGTGTTCCGTGGTTTGAAGGTCCTGGTTTTATTGCTCTGTCACTAAACTTGCAAAGGAGAGAGAGGAATTATAAAATAGGTCTAAAATATTGCACTGATAGGATCTCTTGCTTTAGTGACCCTGTGGCTTTTAGATAAACCATGGACTGTGAGGACAAGCATCTGCCCTGTGGGAATGATTTCCATACTGGGAAAAATAGGGAAGGTGAAATCTCTGCTCTGTACAGTGTCTATGGGAAACCTGGAGCACTCTGTCCTTGATAATAATATTGTGGGTATTCTGTATTTTAAATGTTAATGAAGAGAATTTGACATTATTTTCCTAATAACTAAGTTTTTAGGACGCTAGTTCTCCAAAGGATATGTTTTGTAAAGGACATAGTTTTTATTTATTTTAACAAATAACAGAGAACATTACTCAGCTCTTACATTGGCAATGAGGAGTGATCAGCAGTTATCAGGTAACTTTGCTGGAGAGGAGGAGAAATAGGGAGCTAGCTCTGCATTTTGGGAAAGAGTTTTTCACTGTATTTGAATAGAAAGAACATAAGGCCTTGTACATAAAATGGGGGTTTGTAGTGCTAGTACAGTAAAAATGAGATATCAACAAGGGAGCAAAGCCACATACTGTTTACCACTTCACTGTCTTTCACTGTAACACACACATGTTTTTGTTTAGCAATAGAGAACTCATTCACACAAAATCTCAACAGCCCCTGAGTTTTGATCCAAACTGATTGAGCTGGAAGCTCAAAAGCATTGGAAAGCTTGCTTTATTTCTTCCCATTGTCACATACTTTTGCATTTCCTGACTACGGGCTGAATAATGTAGTCCCTAAGCCACTGGGAGTTTTGTTCATTCCAAATCTGGACTCCTGCCAGGGCCAGCAGCAGAAACATAAATATCACAAGGAGGGGCTGTTTTTTCATGTTGTTTCACTCTAACCTTTTGCAGTTTTTTCCATCTTCTCTGTACAGTAATTGTTTGGTGCCCAGTGGTGAACAGAAAACCAGGTTTTTGGAAGCCATAAGGAAAAAGGGAGAGAGAACCTCTATTGTGCTTGTCTTGTTGCACTAATGGTATGCTTTGATGTTGGATACTGTGGTCAATCTTCATTATTTAGCTCAAAGGTATTGTACCAGGCAAAGGGCAATGAACACTGATCAGAAGCTGGAATTTTGTATTAATTATGTGGACTCTCCTTTGCAGAAAGGAGCTGCATTGATAAAGGTTTGTGAGATAATAGGTAATATAAGGAAAATCAGCTGGGTTTCTTCAGTGCCTTCTCCGGTGAGGAACAGGAGAAGAAGAATGCAGTACAATACAGAGGTTCAAACAAATAAATGGAAATGCTTAAAACCTCAAGCATAAGTAATGTGTGGAACAAGAAGGTCCCAGAAATCATGAGCACCTTGAAGTTAGCTGTTTTGTCGTTGGTTTCACTTGGACAGGGGTTTCACCCCAAGAGGTGAGTTGATGAAAATATTTATCTGCAGATAAAGGGAATAGCATGCAGAAGGGCCAGCAATTCTTGCTTCAGAATAAAAGCCAAACAGTACAAATTCACAGGTAGAGTGATACTGCTGCTGTGGAATAGGGTCCCAGCTACCATAAAATGGAGTAACTTTACTGATATCTTGAGTTAGTGTGTATTGGAGGTGGGTAAAGAAAAAAGAGAAGCCACTAAATTTAATAGTTATGGCAATTCTTCTATTTTGTGTGACTAAAATCAGGATGTGTCTGGAACCACGGCAGAAACGGGAGCTGTTCCCTCTTTTCTCCAAATTATTTTCCATATCCAAAGATTTGGATTCTCTAGGACAAATATGTAGACTATTCACTACTAAATATTTTGCCCGTTGCTACTGGTGATAACCTTTTCCAAAAAGGAGCATATAAATTTAAACAGAACATTAGTACTGGGCAAAGCAGATCTAAGTAATGATGGAACTTAGTCCTGATTTCCACCCAACTCCAAATACTGCCTGTGTTAATAGGAAAGAAAGCCAATAGTTTGGAGTGTTCTAGTTTTTGTCTTGTCCTTAGGTTGTTCAGCAAACTGATAAATTACGTTTCCCTTAGACACCATCACAATTGTCACATTTTGGCATATTTCAGACAAGAGTTATGTTGCTCAGGCCAATCCATCCCCTCATTGCTTCTAAGCCAGGACTGGAT